GAATAGAATATTATGTATTCATGATGCATTATTGTTACTCGCTACTTATTATTATTACCTATGTCGTAATAATACTGTAGGTTTAAGGYTAATGATATTAATGATTTATCGACTTGCGACTTATAGCTTAACGAGCTACAATCCGATTGGCCTGCACTTTGAAAGTGTACGTATTTATCACTTTTTTTAAATACCACACTTACATTTATCAAATAATATGTTTATTCTGCACATACACGATTTTTCCAGGTATAATTAAGAAAATGTTCAGCTTAATATGTTTTATTTTATTTTTAAATTCTGATCAGTGAGTAGGCGAAAAATTGGTGCAACACAGAATATGTATTTATTTATTTATTAGCTTATTTACACTGTGATCACGTTTTCAGATAGTATAGTATAGTATAGTAMTCTGAAACTTTCTGTATCAGTTAAATTTTGGGCACAGACGTGAGGTGGTTCTTTTAAAAATAACTTTTTATACTTTATAGCTGTTTTTGAGGAAGCTGCAAAAAACTATATCAAATAACTGCGAAAAAAAACAAATGAAATTTAAAGTTTTAATTCAGTATGAATTTAGAGGATTCAAAAAATAAATAGTTACATTTTTCAATTGAGCATCATATGATAATATAGAATTTTTTTTATTTTAAATAGGTATAGGTACCTATAAATAAGTAACTTTAGATGTAGTTTAATACGAAAAATAAAATACAAAATATTATAATATTTATGTTTTAATATGGCCTTGTACGTCTATTAAATATGATATATAAATAAAGTTATTGGCAGTCATTTGTTATATTTCATCTATTGGCACATATTTCTTAAAAATAAAGGTCTGTAGGCAGTGTTTTTACAAATTTGTTTTATTTTTATCTTTTACCATAAATTATTGTTGCCGATGAAGATACATCAAGTTACTAAACACATTAATTCTAATGTATAGGTTGGTATCTAACACTGTAAAGTTGTTTTTATATATATATATATATGATATAATTAATAGGTTGCTTTCGAAAACTATAAAATTTTGGTGGTTATCTCATCATAGCAAATACCTACCTATAGTGTAATGTTGGTTTATAGCTTATTACAATTAGTAATTGGTTTTTGAGAATCACATCAAATATTCCATGTCTTAATTCATACCAGAGAATAATCATTTTTGTATTACTTATATTAATAATGTCATTATTTATAAATATTAGTATTTACAATCAATGAAAATATGTATTTAATACATTTTTCCCCTACCAAATCCTACCTAAGGTATGGTATACCTAGTCAGTGGCGGTTTTGATAAAACGTCAAGGGGGGGGGGCTATTTTCAATTTTTGTGCCCCCCATCCTCCATAATAGTTGCATATATAACTTACAGAACATAACAGTTGACACAAAAAAATCCAAGGGAGGTGGGGGCGAGCGCCCCTTCGCCCACCCTAAAAACCACCACTTTCCCTAGTTGACATTAAAAAAAAAATTATAAATTTAATCTGTTATTCAATGTTATAGGGTTGACATTTATTTAATCATTAATTATTGATCAGAGTAATAAATATTGTAGATATTATCAGATAACCAACATTCTAAGCTAATTTATATAAKATGCCTAATTCTATAAAATTGTTTCTTGTGTTTGTTCATTGAAATGACCTAGAGGTCTTCGTCAATGCTCATCACAAGTGGATAATAGGGAGATCATGGATCTATTTACCTATGTATAATGTATATATCACTATATATAGATGATACTACCCCCCTTATCCAAGAGGAGACGTGTGCGGTCTTTACTCCCAGTGGAGTGGGACCTAGTTGGAATCCGGATGACGCAATCGGACGACAGCGTGGGGATTTGGTGATCAAGTAGAACCACACAAAATTTTTTTTGCACTTTGCTATGAATCGAACCGATGACTGTGTGAGCCGTAGTCAACTGCGTGACCACTGTGCCATTCCGGCCCCTAAAATAAATTTAAAGATATATAAAATGRGTTGATTCGTTGCTTGTATATATTTTCTTAAACAATTTTCGGTATTATTATATATTTTTTTTAAATCAGTTTTCGTGGCTGTTGAATCTAAAAAACTATTCACGACAAGAATTTATTTTACCTCTGACATTTGAGATGGCATCTGGACTTTAATTTCAATCATAATTAAAGATATCAATCTAACTGAAATTTCTTTTGGAGATTAATTCTTGGATACCAATTGTATTTGTTTATAAACTATTTTTTTGTAACTGCTCTCTCATGATCTTCAGTGATGACGTGAAATATTTTTTTTTAGGATATCAAATTAATTTACAAATATTACACAATCTGTTGTGATGTATCCTATTTCAAATGATCCTTTGTGCTTTTATGAATTGATTTCATATCCAAAAACTACCACAAAATTAAACTTTGTACGTTGAAGATATTTCCATTGTTAAAGAAAACGAGCACATCAAATATATATGACATATGTATTATCATTGTTTGTAAGTTTATATGCCATTTCAATGTGTGTATAGAGATTAGAGGTATAATTATTAATATTCTAAGTTTGTTTTCAATCCTATACACGTTGATTGCCAAGCAAGCAAGCTCACCTCATTTTTATTTTAACTATAAATTTCTTCAAATTCTGATTATTGAATTTTTAAATATAGGTACTCAAGACTTTTTTAAATTCCTRAAGTAAAACTTTTATGTTGTGTTATTTATTAATACTATTTTGCAAGCCTTATACTTTGTTGAATGCCAATAATATCCATTTTTAAGTTTAAACAAAATATTTGTATTATAAAGTTATGTGTGAAAATGGAATTTTGAACCTATAATATTAAAATGTTATAAGAACCTATTTAAAATTATGATATTTAAATGCATGTCTAGTAGCTATAGAYAATCATGTTTGAGTCATTATGTGACAATACTGACAATCGTATCTACTCTAAATATACCTACTTAAATTCAAAATTCCCTGAAAATTATTCTTTTTCAAAATGTAAATGAAAAAAATGTTTTCAAATGGTAAATAACTAKAAAAAAAATATAGCAATAAATGATACAACTTTTTTTACAAAAATTTTATTTAGTAATGAAATCAAATAATGTAAACAATTTTAAATTTAAATATATATYGAGATAATGATATATTTTACTGTTAAAAGGACCTCATTTTACCTAAACAAGATGCAAGTTAWTCCTATGAGTATTTAAAACACAAAATTCCTAGCGCGGCTGTCACTTTTTTCGACACAATTGTATTACCTACGTTATACTTGGAATAAATTAWACGTAATGTTTGCGACGCGACACAGTCATATTATAATATTCAAGTATAAGTTTAAGCTTGATACAATGTTTACTAAAAGTTGAAACTTATGCTCACCGACTCACCGTACTACTTTTGCACAACATTGGATTAGTTAAAACATGTTTAGAAAAACAATGACACTAATATAATAATAATAATAATGAATGAATGTATAGTTATTTTTTTTTTTAAATTTAATTATGTATTACTTCGAATTCAAGCCGTAATACGTATTGTGAATTGATGAATTTTAATAATTTTCAATGAATTGTAACATAAATATAAATAATGATAAATATATTATTTGAGTATAATATCATGCGTAGGTTTTCTATGTTATTTGAATATTTGATAAATTTTCATTATATTTTAAACAGGTGTATTTAAAATATAACTAATACCAATCTAATAGATGATCAGAGTATAAAGTTTAATCTCTCCACATTTTAATTTTTGTTTTCAACATAATATAAGGAAATAGTATAGAACTATACTTAGGTATAATGTATAACATTCATAATTTAAATGTATATAATTTACATTTAGATTGTAACTTAAATTTTGATGTTTGTRCTAGTTATTTTATTAGATAACTTTCACACAGTTTCCGTGTTCAGTTGTGTTATGTTTAAATTATACTTGAGAATACAAGATGCTAGTTAGTTATTTGATTTAAATTAAAGATCATGAATCTACGGCTCTACGCATTATCATAAATTCATATGTTTTATAGGACCTAAAATATTTAGGTACTATTTCCATGTATGTATTAACACTCAATGTTAATGTTTAGCGTCTTTAATAGAATCACACCAATTTTAAAATAAATAAAAATTTATTAAAACTKTCTACAATAATAATTATTATGAGTCATGACTATAACAACATTATAACAGATGCTATAATATATCTAAATTATCAAGAAGTTATTAAAGTATTAATAAGACATGGGTAGGTGTGATTACTATAATTTAAAGCCTTGCAGTATAGTAAACATACTAATACTATTATTAAACACACCAATACCTATCAGGAGTGCATACTACGTATAAGCACATCGAATATTCGTGGATTTTGCGCGCTAGGATTAGATAGAAAATATTTTAGGATGTGATGCGTTAAATTCTGGGAACAATTTCGTTTTTACGGTTATATTAGTTACATTTTTATTGGTTTTAGGATAAGATTTTTTTGTTGTACAATTGTATTATTTTAAATGTCTTTTTCGGATAGAGTAGTTTCTTTTTCATATATTTATCGATCGGAAACCTAATATTGTCAGTATTTTTTAAGAAGTCGTTTTTAGAATTTTCAATATATTTTCTCCAAGCGTAATGTAGGAATGCCAACAAGCGTGGTTCTAAACGAGCCACATTCAGAATTGTTTTTTTGAATACGATGATTTGTCATTGGTTTCAAATTTAATAACACAACTACATTATTTACTATTATTCTATACCAGACTATAACAAGACGAGACGAGTGTCCAACATTTTTACATTACGTCTATGATGGACTAACATTTTTTTTAAAGAATTATTTAAATTAATTGGTAGAAAATATTATTTTTCGTTTTTAAAAATAGTCTACTTAAGTTTACACACAAATTAATAACAATATAATACGAACTCCTAATTWACTAAAACATATGTATTATATTATGTACGGTGTATAATATATTAAAATGTACTTACTACTTATGCTTACATAATACAGCAAATGCCTTCTATTTTATTTATGATGAATATTATTTTGCCCRAAACGGTCTGGAAGTGATAGATTATATTTTGGTAAACCTGCCGATGGTTCAATAGTCTGCAAACGACAATACAAATGCGTATAATATTTTTAAAAAAAAAAACCAAAAAATTTAGGTCAGTAATATTTACTGACCTAACACTTATCACCAAAATTAATGAAAGCAAATAAAATCATGTTTAAAATCTTAAGAAAGAAATATAACATTTATACATAAACATAATATGTGTATAGATTTAAATTATAATATTTTATTTTTTCAAATATACCTTAAGCCTTAAGTTAATCACATTATAACAGTTTATAGTACCTAACTAATGATTTTTTTTTTTTTTAAATAAAATAAAATTTACTATTCTTTCAATGTTTTATTTACAAACAGGTATGATAAAATATAAATAACAGTGAATAAATATAATGATATAATAATATATATTAATTAACATTTTCATAATTCATGTATGATTAAGTAAAAATTAAAAACACAATATACGTGATTACAGTAGAATGGGTTATGCATATTGATAGAAGTGAGAGCACAGTTAATTTACCAGGTAAAATGTAGGCATATATTTAATTGAGAATACTTTTCAGGGTAATTTTTKTTTTTACAAATACTCGTATAAAGACTTTTTTTAAGTCACTATTTAGATAGTATTTACGATTATTGGATTATACATACACAAACAGATATACTGTCTTTAGTCTATTTACACATTTTGATAAGGTTACACTGCAGTATTAAACACACATGGTCAATATTATCATAACTTTTTTTTTCGAAGTTTAAATTTTAAATATATTTAGTAGGTAAGAGATAGGTACCTACTTAATTACTAATAAAATAATCATTATTCAATTGATTTTTATATATTTGATTATTTTGTTTCTATAAATATTATAAAGTAATAATATGAAAATGTTCCTAAGTTAGTTTTAAAGTTATATTGTTTTATAGAAGTTACGTTTTTTATTTTATGAATTGTAYTTTKTTCTGAACGTAACAAAAAGTTTTAATTTATACAATGAATAACGATATAATAGGTTAGCTATTAATATAATAATAATTGGCTATACTTATGTTTGTAGTAAAAATATAAAATAACGTTCATTTTGT